GTTCACCAAACGAACGGTTCACCGGCCCTTTCCTGACCTTCGAGTCCCACCGGGTCGTACTGGGCCACCCAGCTTCCCCAAGAACCAGCCAGTTTGGGGGCTCTCTCAAGCCACCTCTTCAGTGTGGGCCTCGACCAGAAATCGATCGGGCGACCCGGTTTAGAAAGGCCCGGCGCCGCGGTGGTTGGAAGCCGAAGCCACACGTGAGTCAGCCCAAAGCGGTGAGCGTTTCAGAAATTGGGATGTGTCGCACAGTCCAATGCTGGTAGATGCGTCCAATGCTGGTTGTATTTCTTCCCCGGTGGGGTGTTAAGACGGGGCTCCACTTGGATATGCCACTTCACCACCGTGGCCTTCGACCACGACGAAGGTCGACATCTTCTGAGACCAACCGTGGCCTTGCTGACCAACCGTGGCGTTGCCGGGACCACCCGACCGCGCACGGTTGGCGCGAAGCCATGGCGTCCTCTTGATGCGGCAGTCAGCCAAGTGCCGCCCAAGCTTCTTCAAGCAGCAAAAGGGCCAGTCGTAGTTTTTTTTCATGTTTTAATCTCTTCACTTGGAGTTGCCAAATGCCGGCCGGCTGAAACAGACTTTGGAGTCTTCCAGGTGCTGAACTAATTGTACCTGCTTAGTTTTAAACAGGCCTGGGCCCTCAGGGTCTTGAGTCCGGCAAGGCTAGAATGAACACTCTCTAGCTGAAGCGCACTCACCCCAAAAGCATCCCCCCCCAAAAGACCATCCGGACCGCTTGTGTTCCTCCACCTTCCGCGCGTCGCCCTCCGTGGTCACTCGGCACCCGACCGACACACCGGATCTTTTTTCCATCGAAACAGCGTCAGGAGTCTGTCTTCCCTACAGGATCCCCCTGGCGCGGGATCCACCAAACAGGGACATGTTCTCTCGGGTGCCAACGGAACAAAGCGAGGAGGTTTCCTCGTCGGCCTTGGCTCAGTCTCCGCAAGGGGAGAAGCCCAGTGATGACCTCCTGCCGCGCCCAGGGTCTGTTGCGACTTGTTTTCAGACCTCAATGGTCGTTTGCTTGACCAACACACCTCAGTGAACTGACTGTGGGAGCTCAAACCAATTGAGAAGCTTCACCTGAACTCCAACCAAAGAGGACCACCCTCTGAAAAACCAAAGGTCAGTCGATCCATCCTTCTCTTCGCTTCTTCTCCCAACGTTCTGCCGACGGACCTTCGGGCCAGTCTGGAACTGCACGGCAAGCAATGGAGCACAAAACCCCTTGCAGAAGTCCAATACACATGTAGGAGATGCCTGACTTGGGCCGTCGCAGCGCTCCTCTAAGCCAACTCTCCTGAACAAATTAGACCATGTCTATAATGGTCACTACTAGTACTTCCAGATATATAAAGAGAATATCAAAAGAACAAACGAAAGCAAGCAACCAGCACATAACCTCACACAATGCCCTACTTTGACGCTGGCCACTTGGTACCTAAGTAGATATTCGGGGTGCCAGCTCATCCGCTGCCTGTGTGCTTGTGGCGCCAGCCAGAACTGTTGCAACAGAACAAAGTTTATAGGTACCCAGAAAAGTCACATCACCGCTAGTTGCCCCTCAACCTTTGGAAGCAAAATGTCGGTGGCAAAAGAGTCATGGTTTTGGGCAGACCAAAGCGGGTGACCAAAGACAGCGATACTGATACTTGCCAAATCAAACACTAATCACACTATGGACATTCAAAAGCACATATGAGGTACGTCAAAATTTGTGCATCGGTGTGCATTGTAAGTATGTATCATGTTTGGAACCTTGTTAAACTCTTTTTTTGTGAGTCCCCTATCGTTTGCCAGGGTTTGGAGCATGCCAGCATATATGAATGCAACACTATATGCAATCAATGGTGATAATTATCGCACATGCAATTGATACGCATCAAAACAAGTGGTAGTGAACACAAATATATGGCAAACACGGCGGTATGCAAACAAAATATGACTTCGAAGGTACCTGGAGCCTTTCCAAACTGTCAGAGTGTTTCCTTAAGGCTCAGGCCAAAACATTTTTCTGTTGGCTCCCTCTAATCTCTAATGAATGAGGCATGAGTGGCACGAGGTCATATGGCGCCTTGTGCATTTTCGGAAAACTTTTGAATTCTTGAAATGATCGCTTGCAAGGTCTCGACTCGGAGTGGCCTCACCCCAACTTGGGCCCCGTCTGCAAGTCCAAAGTCAACGTTCAGATGCGCCGCTGAGGAGGATGATATGTTGTTTCCACATCCCCGGCAATGGATCTCCAAGAATACCACAACTTAATGAATTGGATTGAATTGGTTAAAGGGAACATCTACAGGAAACCATGGTTTTCATCCCCCAAACTATGGCTGTCCTGTAGATTTTCCCTTAAGCCAGTTCTGGGAATAACCAGTGGTTTGGCTTTTGACGCACTAGAGAATTGGGATCCACCCGGGGCTAGTTGTGCCAAGGTGTATCATAGCATAACGCATACCGCATAATTACCCAAATGAGCATCTTGGTGTTGTTGCAAACCAAATGACGTTTCCAATTGCATTTGTTTTGTCGGAGGCCATTTCTGGAGGCCGTCTGTGAGGCAAACGAAACCGGGACACAAGGTTTTTGGATTATACACCTAGATTCGAGAAAATGAACATCCACCCAAACAGCAAAAGCAGGTAGTGATGAATCAAGCCAAAGTTTCCAACATGCGGATATTCTTGACAATGCTGGTGATGAATTAATTGATTTCAATCATTCAGAATTTAAATAGTGGTATCTGTCGTCACCCAAATCATTTGAACACGTTTGAAAACCCACCTGCCACTGACATTGAGGTTCCACAATTCTGTGACAATGCATGTGTCTTTGACGTTGACTGGCTGGGTCTCCAAATCTCTGGGACTCTCGGCGGCCCCCAATGCGGTAGGTCTTCCTAAGTGAGTCTACATGTCAATCTTTTGCAAATTGCAGATTCTGGGTGGCAAGTCAAAGATGCAAATATGTGTATTGTGTCATATTGCCAGACTATGGTGATCCATGGCGTTTCAGAAGTGTCACACCGGGGTTGCCAAGTTTGCCACTCTCACGAGATAATTCGGGAAAAAGAAGAATCGATTGCTCATGAAACTGTACAAAGCACTCGCATTTAGATCTCATGATCTTCCTGGAAGTGGCCAAAGAAATCAAGTTCCTTCTAAGTTCTGACTCATCCTGATACATCACCGCACTACTTGCACCGGGGACGCCAGTGAAAACACGTCCAGAAACCGATCACCTCCGATCCGTCCTCCGTGGACGAGAGATCCCTTCATGACCAAGACGAACACGACCAAGTCAACGCTGGCAGAGTGAAAAACCGCCTTCACCCGTGAGTCATGGCTGGGTGGCTTAAAAAAAAAGAACACCGATGTGTGCGACAAGGCGACCATGGTTTGATTTTTGGGACACCGTTATTCTATGGTTGGTCTTTTTCTGTAGTTCCCCCTTCCATGGTCGGTGAACTTGGAGGAATTCGACACCAGCTTGGAGGAAACCTCCTATGTTTCAAACATGTTCACCTTGGAGTTCGATGGAAGGCCTTCCTGTACCTTGGGATGCTGGCACTTAGGATGATCTGATGGATCCAAGAACGACCGGAGACAGCGGTTTCAGTCGGTCACTGGAAAGCTCAACTGGTCATCGGGAGGTGTGAAACTAGTGCACACCTGCATACACCTGCCCTGTCCCAAACCATCCATGGGACTGGAATGCGCAGTGTGTAACAATTATATAGATACTTGCATGGATGGGTCATTTTCATGGGATGAATGTAAGCAACTATTTCATACTGTATATACATGCATGGTCTGGGCCTTGTTTGATCCCGAATGTCAAAATAGTAGTAGTAGTAGTAGTAGT